AACATTAAGTTATACTCAGCGCTTCCAAAAGGATAGGTCCCAGACGTCAAACCTTCTGGAAGTCAGGGATAACTGGAAGACATGCAACGACTTCCACGTTTCTGATCATGCGGTTTTCCTGGAATTTGCCGAGGCACTTAGCGCAATCTCACGTGTCATTCCTAGCGCAAAGTATCAAGACCGCGTATCAGCGGTCAGATGCAATCCTGGTGGGGCGACCATTAAGACGGGAGAAGTTTCCGAACAAAAGCCAACAGGGTTTGCTCAGCTTGTGGAATACCATCATTTGGAATGTTACAGGGGGCAATTCCAAGCCCGCTGCTAATCCCTCTTTTTATGAGTGACTTCCCACTGAGTCTAAATCCTCGGGTCTTATCTTTCACCGATGATGTTAATTTGTGCGGAGGTCCGACATCCGACAAGGAATGATGCGCATTCGAAAGCGACCTCGGATTTCTTACGGAGTGAGTGGGCACTGATGAACCGAAATTTAACTTTGATGAATGTCAAATCGTGTTTCTCCGCTTTCTCGGCCCTCAAAAAGTATCCTACTCCCCTTGTGCTGCGTAAACTTTCCACACCACCACGGAAAAAGACCTAGGACAAGTGATGATCCGCAGGCTAGTCACCTTCTTCAGTTATCCAGGAGATGCCCCCAGAGCCCGAACAACGCCGCGCCTCACGTGCAGACGGTTGGGTGCCCTCACTCCGGGACTCTTTCTGCAGCTGGGCAAGACCTACATACGACTTCACTTAGACATCCACGATGCCAATGCACTACGGTGACTGAGACAAAGTGTAAACTTCCTGGAGAACGTCCGGAAGCGGGCAACGAAGGCCGCTATTTGAATGCGGCAAAAACTTCATGAGAGGTCGAAAGACCTGGGGATTCACTTTCCTAGTCACCACAGATTATGTGATGACTTGAAAACGGCCTACAGAATAATTAGTAATCCAGGTCATCCAAAAGGTGAAATATACCCGAACGATCATTGTAGCAATCACCCAAGATAATCCAAGGAGAATTGCCAATCAAAGGGGGAAAACACGTATGCACTCAAACTTTTCGCTAGGCCAGGTTGCGGACACTGAAACTCTCCGCCTTTCAAGATTACGACCGACTGTTCTGACGAAAGTTTCAAGAAGAGGTTAGAAAACAGAGCAGCGAGTAGTGGCTTGGATTTATCCAGCTTGTATACAGACCAAGCCGATACAACCAACGGATTCATCATCATTCCGGTGCAGTCAACGGGACGTTTCGGGCTGCCAATACCATCGCAAACTCGACACGACCTTATGCATTCTGTGAGACGTCCGCCTCCAGTTGCCATATCCTTACTGAAAGGATCACCAACTCCTGCATTTAAATCACCCAACTGTTTCGCATAAAGCAACAAGGAAGAAATTTGCAGAATAAAATGATGCCGACGGCCAAGTTTTCAAAGCCTAAATGTTAAATTAAACTTCAAATCGAGCAACTGCTTACCGACATAAATTAAGAGCAGGACACCAGTATCCGTCACTGAAAAATCAGAAACTCAAAACAAAACAAACCGACACACAGATCACTGACGAAAATCACAGAAAAATATACATAAGTTGCATGAAAATAGAAGGTTATGAGTCTTTATTAATCCTCTTCCAGTAGATGTATTTGCTCGTTCAACTCCATTGTGAACCGGTCATTTGATGATGTGGATCTTACTTCTTCTGGCGGTCGACTCCAGGAGTTGGTTACTACACCAAGAACCGGTACTCTGCGGAGACTGTTTTCGTTCCTTGCTTTTGTACCCTCCTATTATGTCCTCTGATGTGTTCCTACATGACAAGAAGGAAAACAGAAGATAGACCAGGTCCGAAGCCATCTCTTAGAATCCTGTTTAGCATGATTAAATTTCCCTCTTGTCTGCGATAGGACAAAGTAGAGAGGTTTAACTCTTTGAGTCGAATACACCTCAAATACACTTCTTGAATGATGCCGCCTATGCTAATACAAAAGATACCCGAAGTCCTTGTATAAATACTGCCACCTGGACTATTGACTGTTTCAACATCTATTTTCATCCAATACAACAAGTATTCCTAGCAGAATCAATCTATATTACTTTTAAACGCAACGTGGTGACCTGGAGATGCATTGATATAGCCATACACGTTGATTATGTAATTGTGGATACTTTATTGATACTCCAGATTGTATAGATGGGTCCTTTGTGGTTAGCAAGGCTAAAAGCTGGACATCATTCCGAGTAATAAACTGTTTTATTACTAATCGGCAAATTATGCGAATGGACTGACAACGTCAGTTGGTTATAACGCAAACTTTGAACACTGCGCGCTTTTGACATAGATAGTGGAACCTATCTATGTGATGGAAGATGGGAATCCATATCCGTCTCATGAATTTCAGTAAATTTTAATAAGATTGTGCACACTAATGACATGATGTGTAAATTATTTAATACAAGATACTTTCAAAAACTATGAATTTGACGGTGCTTATAAACTGGTATCCCTCATGTTAAACCTGTTAAATGAAGACAGTATTTATTGTTGTCCAAACTTTAACATTCTATGTACTCTGTTAAGTAATATTTCCTTGTTCATTTCATAACTAGCAGGACCTTTGGCAGTTTTTAATTGAGTTTAATGACATCCCGTCAGTACCACTCAGGGCTCAAGTCTTGTAGATGTTTTGAGATGTATCAACGTGATGAAACCTGTAAACTGGCTTATCTAATGTTAAAATCTTTTTTAACGCGAGAATAAAATATTTATTTGTTTATCTTTACAGGTGGGGCCAGCCATCTCAGTGATCATACTAGTGGCTGCCATCTGAACTCTTTCCGAAGGGTCTGAGTCAGATTTCAGACAAGGATTTGCCCCCCTCCATGTGTACAATTTTTTAGTTCTGACATAACCAAGATGATGAACATATCACCACTTATTTTTGTAAACGTTCTGCGTAGTGCCCAAAGAGTCCTAAAACTTCAAGTTGCTACCAGCCGACAGTGTGCCATGGCTTTCAAATCACAACTCACTGTGACCTCTTTTGGGTCGGCACTGATGGTAGATGAGTCTCATCAATATCGCGGGTGTTACCATGTGTATTCCCCACTGGCGTGCTCACACATTTACTTGGGTTGATGGGCATCAGCCACTCCTCTGACCAGGTAAACAAGCTGTTCAGGCCTGCCCAGAGGGCACGCATATCCTCACCGTTCCTAATTTTCCGCCAGAATACTTACATCATCAGCGTAGAGAACCATAGGGGATTTCGTAATATTTGGCAGCTGATTAACGTATAGGAGGAACAACAAGGGACCCGAGACTGCCTTGTTGCACTCCACTCTCTACCGACTTCCAGAAGGTGGGTTAAGAATTGACCCTAACTCTTTGTCTCCTACCAATGGGGAAATCATCCATGCAAGCAGACTGTCAGTGACTCCAAACGTTTCCAGTTTCCCAAGCAACCTGGAATGAGGCGTTTTATCGGACCCCTTACTGAAGTCTATGAAAATGATATCTATCCTATCATCTTTAAGCTGGACCAAACTTTCTCTGACTGTAAGGAGGTTCGTCAAGCAGGAGAAATTTCTACGAAAGTCATGCTGCGAACCAGACAATGCAGTGTTACTCTCTGAGTAGACTGTGATGGCTTTCTCGATTACTCTTTCGTTGATCTCCACCACATTACTAGTCAAACTTGTCGGTCTGTAATTTGATAGGTACTGCCTGGAACCTGCCTTGTGGATAGGTGTTACGATGGTATTCTTCCAGTAATAGGGGAGTATGCCCTCACTGAGAGACAGACGGAATGTCGTGGTGGATGGGCCGGCTACATAGAGTGCAAGATCTCTGAGCAGCATTGGGTGCAGCTCATCGACTTAGAGATCACTTAAAATCCGAAATACGTCATTGCGATCGACACCCACAGAGTTTATTCCGTTGGATGTCGGTGCTTCTACTGTTGGATAGTTGTCCACAGATCCCTGTGTGAAGGGCTCAGCAAAATATCCAGCCATAGCTCCCTCATTTTCCCCACAGTCCTCAATCAAATAGTCATGTTCTGTCCCATTGATTAGGCGGGCATGCCGTGACACATCTTATTTCTATAGTTCATACAGGAAAATAACCTCTTCGGATGTTGCGATACAGCCTGGGCAAGACGTATTTCGAAGCATTCTTGAGACTGGAAGATAGCGGCGATACACTTGTTGCCGGTTTCTTTGTAGTGCTTCACCACTTCGGGCGTATCGAGGTGGGTGGCAAGACTCCGACACCTCTTCTTACGTAGTGGCACAGTGGAGCACAGTGTTTCCTTCCCTCGAGACAGTCCGCGGAATAAACGGTTGGGTCATTCGTGCATATAACTATTTGAAGGAGCACCACGCACTTTCAGCCAAGGCTTCTGGATTTACAGTCCAGTCTCCCGAAGAGGCTGCCGGGTCAATAGCTCCCAAATTCGCTTTCCATATGTTGGGTCTGGCTGGGCATCGCTTGGTACAAGAAATCTACCGTGAATCTAAGATCACAGTGTGGTCACTTTTATCAAGGAGTGCTAGGTGTCGAATGAAGCACACATTGTCTGTGTGTGATAATACCAAGTCTAGAACTGATGGAGCATTCTGATGATCATATCTGGTCACTGGCCTAATGTGCTGCAGGAGGGCCACGGAAATTGATGTTTCCACTAATCTGTGACCAATCGAAGTACATGATGCTTTTGTTATTAGTCTATCCCAGTCAACTGATGGTGCGTTGAAGTCTCATACAACTAGACATCGGCATTTATCTGTCCAAAGGGTCCAGAGGTTCAGAGGTCCACCCACCAGGAGGGTGGTTTGACTTACGGCATTGGAATTCAACCAAAAATCAGAAAACGTTCAAGGAGACCTAGAAATAAGTGTGAATAAATCACTTGACTAACACAGGCTTGTAAAAACAAGTTCGAGAAAAGATAAGATTGGATATTGGACATCTTCATAACCTTGTAACATTAGCAACTCAAAACCGTGAAATTTCGAAATATTATTACTGGACATTTATCAGTTTGGTTTAATTGTAAAATGTGCGTTTCAGTTAGCTGCGCATCATTTTGAGGTAAAAATGGGTGTTCGGCAGTTTTTGGCTATCTTATTTGTATCCCAGTAATGGGATTATTCTACTCGTAGTTATTGTTAAGCTGTTGATGAAAAAATGCCATCTAATAACAACCTACTTGACCTTTCACCAAGTATATCACCCCGGCAGGTCAGTATTGTCGGTCTCAGACGGACTGTCTCTCGGGAAAGCCACTTGAAGACCTCCTCATAGGGCATAGACGAGAATGAGGTCTAACCTTTTCTCACACAGAGTGCGTCTCTTATGGAACGTTCAACAACATGAAGTAACCATCATCAGTCGAGACCTTTAAACGACTGCTCGATAAGCACGTGAGCGCAAATGACTGACGACGGACATTCGCCAGCAGCAACTGAAGTTATGCAGATGTGCTTATGCATTTCCTTCCCTAGGGATGGATGTGCTTCATGTGCCTGGTGACTCTGAACATTCAAAGTGTTACTTGTTGTTTGAAGGCGCTCCGCTGCTATGCCCAGCAAATTATGTCGTTAAGTTGGAGAAGAAATGCTCTGATTAGACTGTCATTGCATTCAAATCCTTAGGAAGGTTAACTTTGAAGGTTTCTGCACCCACCTAGTAAGATAATCAATTAAAAATAACTTAGCCTATTACTTTAAAAATAAGAGCTCGGAAACCGCATTCTTTTTACTGTAATTGCTGATGTTGGATTGCTCTACTTTTGCGTAATGTCACTGAAACAGTGATTCAGAAATAATGCTGAAATACGACTTTCAAATGAATTTTTCGCATTAATCGCTAAGTTTAGACTCTTGCCGTGTTATTTATTCATGCATGTGCAAATGAAGTTCTTGTATCTGTTTTGCTCTTGCAATGTATATTGAGGACACATATCTATGTACAAATATTCTGACGGGCAAACTGCATTTTCCTCGTAGTAGTTTATTTAATCAGAATTTCAAAACCATAAGGTGTAGTTTGTGGTGGATTTCAGCAATGATGTTGCTTATTTTAATTCTGTTTCAGTTATGTGTTATGAATATTTCACGGTAATTTTGATAATGATGCATCCAACATTTTACAGTATTTTTATAAATACACTTTCATACTTAAGGTTACCTTTGCAGGTAGGAATTGCAAAACGTTTACTGATTTAATCCACATTTCCACTGCTCTTCCAATCACATTTAGCCTACCAACTATAAAAGAGTACCTTCAAGTAGACAAATAATACCTTCACAGCCGCATGCAAGTAAATGAAGAATATTTCTGTGAGTGACAAAGGAGTACAACCAAACGAAATTAACATAACGTCAAAACCTTGACTTAGTATTTCAAGAACTATTAGTTTCCTTTACTCGCAAAATTGATGTTGAATATTACTTAATATCAGACCTGCTTCAAGGACTATTTAGCATTTCACCGTATCCCATGGGAAGCATTCAGTTCGACTGATTTTATTATTTCTCTTTTTTTCAGAAAAAAAGTGGTATGATACTACATTCTATATGCTCAAAAATCATTTTGGTACTAATATAATATCTATAAGAAACGATCTTTTCCCCGCCCATAGGAATAACTTTCTGTGGTGCCAGCACAAGAAGATCTGCAGACTACGGTTAAGTCGATTCAGATTGAACGTCCGTTCTTGTAACCAAGTGGAACTGTTTACTTCAGCAAGTGGTATCCCCTTCTCCGGTGTGCGTGTTCTTAGGGTAAACGCGTGGTTGTTGATATGGCAGTAAATGAGCACAAAATGAAGAGATGTTTATTGTCCAAAAATAAAAGTAGGAGTATAAGAAAATGATGGTTTTGAGGTTTCACGTCTAGTCCTTGGGTCTTGGTTTTCATTATACTGTTGTTCTTCTGCAGTGGGTATGCTATTCTCTTGGGCTTTCTTGTCAGCTGTAGTCAGATGAGTATCGTCTCCCAGTTAGTTGACTGTATTCGAAGTAACATGAGGAAATTCTAGGGACAAGTAATGTAAGATCTTTAGGGAAATATCAGAGGACTGAGGCAATTATATCTGATTTTCCCCAATGTCTGCGTTCTTCCCTAATATTTCCCCAAAATTATGTATGTCTCGTTTCCCAAGTATGTACAGAACTATGCTTATTAGCTCAGCTTACCTCAAAATAGTGGAGCTGGGGAAATTCATCCATGGATTTTCGAATGCTTGTGTCTATTTCTTGCGATTAAACCCCTTTTGTTCGGTTATACTCCATCGTCACTCAAAGAAGTTTCCCCGTTTTTCCTGCATACAGCTGTAGATAAATTGATCTTCTTCTAGAGGGCATTCTTCCAAAATTGGTTGGCTAGTGGTATTGACAGAGTAGTGGAACTGCGGATTAAATCAGTAAACGTTTTGATATTATTGACTGTACGTGTAACCTTAAGTGTGGAAGCGTATTTATAAAAGTGTTGTGAAGGATTGGCTGTGTGGTTAGGTGTAAACAGAAAAAACTAACAAGTGATATTAATGTTAGTAACAATATGTGCAGAGTACGTTCAATCTTGTGGGTGCTTGGGTTGGGGAGCAGTGGTATGGATAGACATATGTCCAGTAACTACCGGCATATATTGTTGGTAAGCCGTGTGTGCTGACGTGTTTGTCTAAGATTCGCTAGAAGGACCCAACTGAGGAGTATATAACTAATTCTTCCGTTAGTGCTTTATGGTGCACATACTTTGTGGGGAAAAAGTCATATCTAACCATCGTCTTAGTCCTCTAGGGAGGAATATGTGTAAGGTTGCCATATGACTGTCGGTCTTGGACCGATAATATTTTGTTTCGGTGGCTGGCTTGATTTAAAACCCTGTAAGTTGCTATTAGGTCACATTTTCTCCTTCGATAGACTAAGATTAGCAGGTTAAATTACCTCAGGCGTTTTCTGTACATTTTATCTGTTAGATTGATAACTGGCTTTGACGCTTCATGACATGGCACGGTTTTCGCTTTTCCTAACATTCTTTAATTGTTGTTGATATCTAATGCATGAAAAACGTTTAGCCCTAGGTCATTCTGCACGTATATCTGGGTGATGGGAAACTTTTCAGTGGTACAGCTAGCTTCCATGGCTAACGGTGCTCAAAGGTACAATCTTTGGCGTTTCTTCTGGTTGATTCTCAACTACTCTAAGCTAGTCAAGACTCAAGCTGCAAACAGTCGTCTTGTTTTGGTAACGGACTCTGTACGCAGATCATTTGCTTAGGGGATCTAGGTCATATCTGAAGTTGATTCAACTATATATTCAGGATCTTATCTAGATATTTAACCGGATTCTTACAGACTAGATAAAATTCTGCTGTGATATGACCACCTCCATTGCCATATCATTTTCCTGAACTTTCCATTCCTTCTGAATATGTTTTTTCCCTTCATGCCTAATTTCAGAGTAAAGAGGTTAAGTAGAAGAGCTTTTAAGTGTTTTTGCACTGATTTGTGTATCTAAATGTTATTCACTTTCTGGCTACGAAGTGAAGCTTCGGATTGGTTTGTACCATATCTTTCTAGTTGTTTCTGTTGACGGTTTTATTGCATTTTAGGAGAAGAGGGCGCTACGTGCAAGATGGGAAGGCTATAAGGAATGCAAATATTGCGGTTAGTTATTCACTGCATAGAAATTATTCGTCTGGCATCTCCCACGAGTTAATGTTTAATTATTTCCTATAACCTACACTAACAACACCTACCTGGTCGAAGTTTTGATAAATAATCTTGTTAGTAGTTTTCTGTAAATTCTTAATGTAAGTGAACAAACACTTCTTAGTTTTTCAACACAACTGATATCGAAGAAAGTCTGTTAGGCAGGATATGCAACCGATTTTCAAGAGGTTGTTGCATTCATTGATCGAGTTCCATTGTAGAAATTATCCTTCTGTACAAAGTCTTACTTTTGACTTGCACTAGACAATAAGTTACCTATATTATTGGTAACACATTTTTCAGCCAGAATTTTTACTGCTACGGTAATGATTGCAGACGACATTCGTATTCATCACACTCTAGGGGCTTTATTTCAATCCTACAAATTTCCCTTGAAACTAATATTGAATTAGGAAACTTAGGCTTCAATAGAAACGAATTCTGTCAAGTTGCTTTGCAAACATCATCGTTTGGTTATTCGTTGAACAAGTGTATACACGAACTTACGGACAGTAGTTGATGTTCGACATCCGTACTGGTAACTGAAATTTGGTTAGATAAATCAAGTAGGATTACCAGTTGAAATGACAGGGAATGTATTCAGTCATTTATTTGAGATGTGTATACTAAAGCTGTTCAGGTGTTTTCTCAAGAAGAGATTTATTGAAATAAATATTTAGTCAAAGCATCAGTATCTCAGTTTCTCGGCAAGAATGCGATCGGCTTGAATAGGGTGTTTTGGCGATGTAGGTTAAGTGGGTGGGTCAGAGTGATAAATGATTATCGGACTATAGTTCCTTTCTGATTACACTTAAGTTATGCTTGTATCTAGAACTTTACCTATATAATAATCAAGACAAACGACAAAGCGATCAGTGTTTCATTAGGTCATCACTAAAAAACTAAAGATGTTAGTCAGCTTGTATAACTACTTGCTTGTTAACATGAAATAAGAATGCAATCACTGGGAAGCTGAAAAGATCGTATCGATAACCAGAAAACCACCACTGTATACGATGTAAAAATTTATTCGTGAATCTCTGATTATTCCCTGCTCACATATTTCGTTTTAAATCTGCCCATACAGTACACCTCAAAATACACTATTTAAAGTTGTGATAACATCTGACTCCCATTAGACATCAGCAAGAGTTACCGTTCTCTTTTTTAATGTTAAGGGGTAGGGAACACTGCACATGACACAGTGATGTTGAAGCCCACCTAAGCAAAGATTTAAATAACCAACTAGGTTTTTTATTCCCCTAGAACACATGTTTCCATTTGTAAAGTGTGATAACTTAAAACCGTATTATTTAGAGGTTACATGAATTCTCAAGTTTTAAACAAACCGTTTAGTAGTCTGCTAGCCGATAAGTTTATACGTTAAAGTCATCTGAAGTTGAAAAATATTTCTTTTATTCACAAAGAAGTTGATTTATGGCAAATTAACAGGCGGATTGAAGCACATAGAATCCTGAAACCAGCACACTTTGTAACAAAATGAGATAGAAAACATCACCAGTAGAACAGAAACATAAGCGATATGCGGCGGAAGAGGACAAATGAGGAATAAAATGATTTCAGTAACTTTGAAGACGATGAAAAGTGAGATTATTTACAGTTGTAATCATTTTTGAGTAATTGAACCAGTGGTTTTCAACTATTTATTTCTAATATTGCCCTACGTTAACCTCGCCTGGTTAACTAGTTCATTAGTTACTAGCCGGTCCTAAGCCCGGGTGAAGATAGAAGGTTGGGCATAGGGCTAGCAACCCTACCCCATAAAACCAATCCAACCTCTAAAGAAACTTCAAAGCACAAAAATAATATAAAAAAATAAAAACGAAATTATTCCTCTCTGGAATCAGGGCGACTAAATGACGCCGGTTGGTGAAAGCCATCGGGAAGCCAATTGACCGGGCCGATGTGTCTTCTCTCGATGAAAGCAAAAGTAAACGTGGGGACATGGAATGTTCGCACTGTGTTTGAACCTAGCAAGGCAGCCCAGATTGCAAAGGAGATGAGAAGGTATCGCATTGAAGTGCTAGAAATTTGCGAAAGCTGGTGGAATGGGAGTGGAGTCTCCAAACTGTCAACTGGAGAATCAATAATCTACTCCGGTCACCCAGATGACAACAACGAGCACACTGAGTTGTGGAGTGGCTATCATGATGTCCCAAACAGCATCGAAGGCCTTCATGAAGTGGGAACCAATCTCTTCCAGGATCATGACAGCAAGGTTCAACTCAAAAGGAAGGAAGGTCACAATCATACAATGCTACGCACCTAAAAATAATGCAGATGAAGAGCAGAAGCAGGAATTCTACAGACAACTGCAATCAGTACTGGACAATACACCACACCAGTTGGCGACATCAAATTCATTCTAATGGGTTGGGTGACATGAATGCCAAACTCGGAGAGGACAACATACGAAGAAAACTAACAATGAGTTGAGAAGCGCTTGGTGAAATGAACGAGAATGGAGAATTGTTTGCAAAATTCTGTGCACTCAACGATTTGGTGATTAGAGGCACTGTGTTCAAGCACACAGATATTCACAAAGCGACATGGATTTCACCAGATGGACACACTAAAAATCAGATCGACTTCATCTCAAATGTGAAGAAAGTGGAGACGCAGCCTACTTGACACTAGGTCAAGAAAGGGAGCAGATGTAAGTTCAGACCACTATCTAGTGCAGGGAACCTAACCTCAAAATCAAGTTCAAAGCCTTCAAGGAAGTTGGTGACAGACCACAGTTCAAGTTCAGCAACCGAAAACTGAAGGACGAAACTACAAAAGACATCTTCACGGCAGCGATCAAGACAAAATGGGGGATATCGAGCAACATCCCTGGAGAAACCTGTGTGAATAAGCACTGAAACTCTTTGAAAGCTGTGTGGAAAGAAACCTGCATGACCGTTTTAGGAAGGAAGAAGAAAGAAGATAAGGAATGGATCTCGATGGACACATGGAAGCTGATAGAGCAGAGGAAGATGGTGAAGCAGAAGATAGACCAGTGCAAGGATGAACAACGGAAGAGGAGCTGAGTACAACGTATAAAACACTCTACTGGACAAATAAGTGAAGAAGAGTGCTTGGAAAGGCAAAAGACACTTCCATGACACACTGGCAAGTGAAGCAGAACAGGCTCCGGGTAGGAGAGACTGACAGTAATGTATCAAATAACCAGATTACTATATGGAAGGGGAGAGATCAACACTGATGAAACCAATAAAAGATGGTTAGGAAAATATAAATACCAAAGAAGAGAAACAAAGGAAACGATGTGCTGACCACTTCAAAAAGCTCTTGAATCGACCACCACATGCACTTAGTACAGAAATACCACCTGCAGCCACAAAACTAAAAGTGAACATAAATCCCCCAACAAAAGTCGAAGTCCTTAACTCCATAAGGCTACTGAAATGCGGTAAAGCAGCAGGAACAGATGGAATCCCATCAGGAGTACTGAGAGCAGACGCAGGGACAACATCGGATATGCTCACATCACACCACTACTGCAGAAGGTCTGGAAGGAAGGAAAAGTACCTACCCACTGACTGGAAGAAGGCTTACCTTGTCAAACTCCCGAAGAAGGGCGACCTAAGTCTTTGCAAGGACTGGTGCGGAATCACGCTCCTGTCCACCCCAAGCCAGCAAAATATTAAGCCGCATCATCCTGGAGAGACTAAAGGATGCACTGGATTCAAAACTACGACCGGAACAGGCTGACTGGCTGGAATCAGAAAGTACAAATTATGTGCGGACCAAATTGCAACGCTTTACATCATCATGGAACAGAGCATAGAATGGCAGTCAACCCTCTATTTCAACCTCATGGACTTTGACAAGGCCTTTGACAGCGTCGACCGACAAGTGATTTGGCAACTGCTTCAACACTACGGAATACCACAAACTTTTATCAACCTCATTCAACAACTATGTGAAGACGCCATATGCCAAGTATTTCACAATGGAAAGCTCAGTGTTGTCTCTGAAGTGAAGACAGGAGTAAGACAAGGCTGTCTACTATCACCTATGATCTTCCTGATTGTGGTGGACTGGATCATGTAGCAAACAGTGAGAAGCAAGAAGATGGGCATACGCTGGCTGGACCGATGAAAAGATCCTAGAAGATTTGGATTTCGCTGATGACTTGTGTCTAATGTCACACAAACTTGAAGATCTACAGGCGAAAACTAACAAGATGATAGAAGAGGCAGCGAAGACGAGACTTCAAGTGAATATAGAGAAGACAGAGGTGATGAAGATACCCAACCATTAACATCACCATCACCAACAACAAACACCAAGCACCATGAACGGGAGAAACTTAAAGGAAATAGTCTCTCTTACCTATCTAGATAGTTCTGTTTCAACTACAGGCGAGGGTGGCATAGATGAGGATGTCCAAGCCAGTCAGGATCGGAAAAGCAAGACAAGCGTTGATTAACCTGAAACCAGCGCGGAGGTATTCTGCACTCAGCTTAAAGTGTGAAGAAGATCCGGATTTTCAACACCAATGTCAAGTCACTGCTTCTATATGGTTCAAAAACTTGGAGCGTTACGAAAAGCATTTCCAACAAACTGCAGACATTCATCAACAACTGCCTACGCTGGCTTGTTACTGAAGATCAGAACGCCGGAAAGAAGAAGCAACAAGCAACTCTTGCAACGAACCAACAAATAAGCTATCACTCAACAAATATGCAGATGGGAGTGGAGATGGATTGTATTGGGCATACACTGAGAAGGCTGACTGGGGACATCACGTGCCAGGCCAGTTGCTCGAGTGGACCCTAGATGGGAAACGAAGAGTTGAGCGTCCGAGGTGAGGTTGACATGAAGGAGATGGTGTGAGGAAGAAATGAGAGCTTGTGGTCTGTCGTGGAGCCAGTTTGAAAAGACTGCAGAGAACAGAGTGCAATAGAGATGTGTTACTGAAGCCCTATGTTCCACTAGGAACCCAACGGACAAATAATAAGTAAATAATAAGTATGACAGAGAAGATTAATGCTCAGTTTACTCATCAACCTATAAGTGATCAGTTTTTCTTTCCATTATTATAAATGGTACAATTTTACAAATACCAGGGAATTCTGTTTCTTACTATATTTGACTATCTGAGATAGCCGTAGTTTGGCAGACCATTCACTGCTTACGGTGTAATTTAGAGTAAATCAATAGTTTGATTTAGTACATTATCAAATCGTTCCTTTGTCAATGACCCATTTTCTATCTCTTCCACTTGAACAAATACCACCACCACCTACACCGATTGTATATTTTGCATATTGACTGACTAAGTCTCTTTTTAGTGTAATTATCTGTCACTTTATCGAGTATAAATACGACTATTGTACAGCTTGATAATGGAGTCATTCAGAAAAAAAGTATAGTTTGTGTAAGTCACAACATGTCTGAAATCAAATGATTACATGCCAAATTTTCGTACCAAAGTTTAATCCAAGCTTGTTTATACGCCAAACTTTTGAACAAATTCACTGTATCAATTAGCTGCTTTTCCTGTTGACACAATCTCACAATTAAATTATGATAATAAGGTGTGAAAAATCAGCCTTTAAATTCAATATAATAAACTGATACTAAGTCACTGGTTGTAAATCTCCTTATTAAAGCTTAAAAATCTATTACTAAAATTTCTATAAAGTTTCTTCGAAAATCTCAAACTTCACACTTAATCTAATGACCAACGCTGAACACTATGAAAAATGAAGCTAAATTGTAACATGAAATAATGCCTTAAGATAGACAAATTGATTATGAAGTATAACTTGACTGACCCTTGAAGCAAATTTGGAGCGTTTAACAGGGACTTTTTTTCATGCTAGACATTTGAAATTCATTCAAAAGTTATTGTGTTGGTAGTAGAAAAGATTAGAGTGAAGTTTTACATTTTATTAGTAGAAATTTATTGATAACCTCCACATCTTTATACTACTTTTGCTTGACTATTTATTAACTAGATGTCAAATTAAAATCATTTGACCTTACTAACATTTAGTGTATATAGGTGACTATTTGATTTCATCAACATCTATTTCCCGTCTCAAAGTAATACTGAATAACATGTATACAGTCATTGAATAGACAACTTCGTCTTTTGACCTCAGTCTATAAGATAGTCACTAACCAATCATAACCACTACTACTGTAAGTAAGCTACTGTAAGTTAGGGAAATATGTATACTGTGCAAATGAACGATGTCTCGCATTAGCTGTAGGCAAAAAATTTAAAGTTGTTATTCATTGTAGACTATAAGCAACAAGGAGCTCTGGGAATGAACCAACCAACAACCTATCGCTGAACAAATATGCACTGGAAGGAAGTGGAGATGGATTGGGCATACACTGAGAAGGCCGACTGGGGATATCATGCGTCAGGCCGTCGAGTGGAACCCCCATGGGAAGTGACGAGTTGGACGTCAGAGGTTGACATGAAGGAGATCGTGAGGGGAGGAAATGAGAGCTAGTGGGCTGTCGTGGAACCAGGTTCAAAAGATCTCAGAGAACAGAGTTCACTGGAGACGTGCTACTGAAGCTCTATGTTCCACTAAGAACCCAAGGGACTAATAATAATATAATAATAATTCATTGTAGACTGACATCAGTTGGAGGAACAAAGGAAACATGGGAGCAATGGACAGCTGTTTCGTCCTAGTATGGGACTCCTTAGCAGTGCGCACCCAAGACCCTGCCAGTGATCTAACCCGCGACCCTCACGTTCCATGGCCAGCACGTTACTATTGAGCCAGCCACTGGGTCGGAATCTAATAGTCCATATTTCCAACTTCTGTTAGCTCACGATCCCTGGTGGGGTTGTGGGGTAAGCACTGCTGAGGAATCCCATACTAGGAAGAAACAGCTGTCCAGTGCTCTCAGGTTTCCTTTGTTCCTCCAACTGATGTAAGTCTACAATGAATAACAACTTGAAATATTTCCAAATACACCACAACTCCCTCAAAAAAAAAATTAAACCTGATACTTTTATGATCAACACGACGGTCTATGTGCATCTAATGTACATCGTTTCGACAGGGAAATTTTTTAAAAGTATTCTAGGTTGTCTTTCTGATCATCTTCTGAGTATGGAGTCAATTCTGGGAAAATAAATAGTTTTCTGCGGCAGTTATCAAATAATATAAGATAGCCGAAGAATTATAACCGTAAAATTCAGTGAAAACTTACAATATACTACTTTATAGAGATTTCAGATGACCAGGCGTCATCAGCTGAATAAGAATATTAGAATTCCTAAAGATGACCAATATGAAAGTATTTCATCACAAGTAACTGACTCAACAATATCTCTATGAGTTCTCTTACTCCAGAATACATTACATTCACTGCTCCACTAGAAAATATATTTCAATATTAAGGATGAATATTTGGCTAGTAGTGAAATCCACCAAGAACATTTAGTCATATATTGAAGTCGTTACTTGGATATACCTTCCCCTCTCTTTTCCCTAGTGATTTTGTCCTCACAGAGAGTGGAATACAGAACCAGTCGCTTCATAAGACAGAATGTTACAGTCTGGGTCACTGAGTCAAGAAAACCATTCCTTGTACAATGGGTATAATATAGTTTAGATATTATACCTTGTAATTTTCCGTCATTGATTGGACTGAGATGATTCGAATGCTATCCACTATCTCTTCTTAATATCAAGATTGAGAATAATGGCAATATTGAGGTCTCCGTACAAAACCTCATATTCTAATGGTAGCCAGTCACTTTGATCCAATAAACAATGGGGCATTACAGGCTATAATAACTAATCTATCAAATTCCATGTAATGACTATGAGTCAGGTAAAGTACATAGGTGAAACTAGCCGATCGGGGTCAGTTAGAATAGTGGAACATAGAAATTTATCTAAATATAGAATGACAGACCCGAATAAAATCAATAATCTAGAAAGTAACTTGGCTATTACAATCCATGAATTAAACACAACCACACAATAGGGTGGGATACAACCACTGTACTTAAGTGCACTATAATTAGGTGGAGATATAAAGAGATTGATTACTGAATCTTTACTCATCGAATGAACCAACACCCAACACATGTAGTAGTAATGACGCAACATCTATACCAGGGATGCATAGGAGATATTCCTACCAGTATATGAGATGACGTAACTATAGAAAGTAGTGTGATTGCATTGATATGATTGTGAGCAGTGATAATATATGCTCGAAACATTATCAGGTAGCATACATCAAATCAACAAATTTAAAATAGAATTTCTATAAATTACTATGGGACAAATTATAGATTCAAAGAAGTATTCTCCTTATAAATTTTTAATAATTGTAGTCAGTATCTGAGTAGTAGAAAAGATGAGAGAACAAGGCATAGTAAGTAAATGTTCATTAGGAGGTTTTGGATAGTCAGTCTCATGAGGCATTAAGTATTACGATTATGAAGACGGATTACAACAATATGTTCATTTTGTCCGGTTCTACTACTAAGTTAAATTGTGGATATTTCGTCTTCATATTTTTATACTCTTACTTTCCTTAAAATAAGCATTGAAGAAACTACAGACAGAAAATCGTAGTCAAAGGTTGTAACGTATCTGTCAATATTTCATTATCTCCAGATGTAGGATGATATTGTCATATTCTTGGCTTAATCCTATCGCTAACTTGTTATAACCATATGTGGTTGTGATTGACCTGAACATATGATTCATTACTAACGCTGACCTTGGACGTGATTGGTCTCGAATATACCGGCTCAGATTCTTATGTTCAGTTCACGCGTAACTATACCCTCCCAACCATCAACACCGGAGTGCGAAGTCAGGTGCGTATTGTCCGTATATTTCAGAAGTTTGGATTCGTCTGTATATATGACTAAAATTACTTTATCATCTGACTATCTGAGACAGCCATAGTTTGGCAAACTAGTATTTATATTGGGTGATGATTGAAGGTGAGATGACAGTCTTAACCGCCGTCGCTGGTTCGAATACGGCTGTGGTCCAGGCTTTCACCTCACCTTCAATCATCACCTAGTATAAAATTACTTGATCACAACTCATCATAAGTTTATCATAATTACCATCCAGGCAATATTGAGGCACCCGCACAGGAGCCCATACGCCAATAGAGGTGGAACAATTCGATCCAATAAAACAACGGAGAATAACAAGTACACTAATAAATAAATAAATAGTAATTTCAAGTTGTTATTCATTGTAGACTGATATCAGTTAGAGGAATAAAGGAAATATGGGAGCACTGGAAAGCTGTTCCGTCATAGTATGGGACTCCTCAGCAGTGCGCACCCACGACTCTACCAAGGATCGAACCAGCCACCTTCAGGTTCCGTGGCCAGCATGTTACCATTGAGCCACTGGTTCGGCGGAATCCAATGGCCTATATTTCTAACTTCTGTCAGTTCACGACATAACGCGACCGCCACCCAATATCATCGTTGAGTAACTGTCCTCATGACCATCTGGCTTTGCCCCCACCGGTCATGACTTTTCACTGGAACTTCGGGAATACCTCTCGAAGCTAGTCACCAATGAGCACTAGTTCAATTGAATTTTGAAGGCCGCGGGTTCGATCCCTGGTGGGGTTGTGGGTGCGCACCGCTGAGGAGTCTCATTCAATTTTTTTCCGAAATACAAGTCATACAGAAGTGAGTGAAGGGTTAATTGAAAGCTCTTGAACCGATCTATGCAACAATCTTAACAATTAGATTATAAGTAAAAAGACTTTAAAGGTAATAAATAAAATATTATGATCAACGACACTTCTCTGAGATTCACATTTTCAAGTTTTTGGTTGATATAACAAGTATCGTCAAAGTGTTCATTATATCTCCTGATAAAGATGTAACATAAACCTTGAGAAGTACTTGTTATTAGGAGTTATTTTTTATCTTTTAGATCACGTGTGAATTAAGGATCCCAAAAAGGTGATTTGTTGCAATCTGAGTATATCATTACAGCTCACCTTTTTCTCCCTTCTGCTCTTCTTTGTTGTCCTCTCCAACAACAATACATTTGAATATAATTCAAATATGCATAGCTTGCATTATTCTGTTAAACCTTGTCAAAATAAACCTCTTCAGAAAAAATTTGATCTGAGATATCAAAATATTCATAGAAGGGCAGTAAGTTGAATTGTAGTATTCTTATAGATAACTGTTAATAGTATTTTCATGATTGAAGCATTTTGTTAGGTGCTGCCTTTTTATGAAATCACCAAAATTCTTCTTAGCAAAAGGTTTGATAATTATCCATTAATGCGCCATAAGTGTTTAAACACAGACACATACAAGGAGAGAGAAAGAGGGCCTACTTGGTGGCTATCGCGCTTCTTTCCCTTTGGGCCTTGTCAGCTAGATGTTCCTGCTCCTCAGAAATGGATGGTGTTCCCATGGGGACCCGAACAGAGTACGCATCACCTATGACGCCAAATCGAGGGAGAGGAAATTGTGAAACAATGCTCCGTGAAACATTAATCCATTGACTCACAAATACAATAATAAGAGAGAGTAAAACAAGTTTCACATAGAGAAATGCAATTGTTATATTTCGCTTACAATGGGTTGGTCTATATGAATGAGTAGAAGAGAGAAGAGGATATGTACAAACTTCTGTTGAACACAAGTACTGGATTTGTTTAGACAGGTTTCACTGTGTTTATAAGCATTGCCTTGAAAGCATAAACCATGTTCCCTGTATTCAAATTCATGACTTGATCAATCAAATTCTATCGAATCTCAATGGAAACATCAGCTCCTTCGACGTTACAGATACACTTTGGTGACAAATATGGACAAGGAGGAGATATACATCAAAGTTCACCGCTATGATGAGCCTCCTAGATTGGTGACCACATTACAAAATCACAAATAGAATTCGGTTAGTACTAAGGACTTGACAACAACAACCAATTCATATAGCATTTCATCTTACCGTACTCTAATCGATTGTGTATAAGGCCATGTTCAGATGTATCCTGTATTGCAGAAAGATATAAGTGTGCAGATAACAGAGAAAATTAGCTAAACGTAGGACTCAAGTGAATAATGTAATTATTTCTTATAAGGCAATAAGAAGTTGTAATTTGTTTGAATGGTGTAATGTATTCCCGCAAATCATTTCGAACAATTCGGTCACACACATACTTGTCATTTATTGAAGGTTGAAATAAGAATGAAGATGAGTAAAATGGCCACATTTTACCAAGGAAGGTTTTATGTGATGACAAATTGTTTTTGATCACTAATGCCACAACAAACTTTAAAATACATTCACAATGGTAGCATTAATTCTGTTTCTGACTATCAAGCTATTTGCATAGGCAATGTATGGTAGTTTTATGGAAACGTCTTTCTAAGACACAGAGTCGACAGTATTTCCAAATGTTCTGTCCACTTTATACGGACTAGTAAACTTTGTTGGCTACTTGTTGTCCGTCAGTAATCTTGTCTCATCTTCCAAAGTATCAACTGTGTATATTGTTGAATTCAATTAAAATAACTAAGCCTTGTTTGTATTGGAATAAGCAGAAACTGTAATAGTTCAAATATTGCCCAGTTCAAGTAGGCTTTCTGTGAATGGATCATTTTATTGACCCATCTTACTGTCGATTGATCAATACGTCTAGGAAAGATAGGCAGTTATTATTCTCTTGTACACTTGTTAGAGATAATACCAGTCTGTACTACGTTCATTTGATTCAAAAGGGAAGTAGCACCATGTGGATCATTGTTTATGATTAAGATATCATTCATATGTAACTTTTATTTAATGAAAAATTTTCAATTAAGACCTCAGATAGTGTTTCAACATTTGATATATAAATATATGCTAAAAGGGGTACAAACAAGCCTCTGGTGGAGATGTCAATTGTTTTGACCGGGGGACAATAAACATAGTTTTATTACACAGACTAATACCGTCAAGATAGTCAACTAAATCAAATGTATCTTTTAAGATATACTAACAGGTTTGTCTTCTGATTGAGATTAATAATTGTACCCTCCACTGAGAGAGTTTATGTATTGGTGATCTATGCATTGTCAAAATAAGGAGAAAAGGAAAATTCGGTTTATGTATTTTGGTTAGGCTATACAGATGTAGGAATTTGAATACTTTTGGCTTTATTGTGTCGATTTTATTCATAGTGATATTGTTTAAACTAAGGAGTTTTATTAGAATAGGTAACACTGTACCCTGTAATACTTGGACATGTTCTGTAGAATCAGTACGACAGATTTTATTATGATCATCAAGAATAGAGAACATTTTACATAAACAATCGCTTCTGTTCGTGATCACGACTTCCGAAATCTTTATCAGATCTGAGCATGGTAATATCTGAATTTAGTCGTAGTTCCTTCAAAGCTCTGGAGTGTTTGAGCATTAAAATGCTTTTTCTATCTCAAATGACCTTTGGAGAACTGATGAGCTCTATCCACTATTATCATCTGAATTCAAAACAAGAGGCTTAAGTTAGTTGAACATATTTTCAAACTTTGCGTAGATTGCCAAATCTGAAAGCTAGATACGTAGAAGACAAAATTTCTGTCCAGTGGATAAGATTTCCTTCTGCTAAGCAGATTAGTTACATATCCATACGGATTGGTAGGGAAGGAATTAATGTGGTTTTTGCTGTCAGTTGAGTTGCTTAACGTTTTGTTAGTGGTTATCTCTATAAAACAAGGTTATTTATAATTTCGAAATAATGCAGAATATTTGTAGCTCAGGTGGATGGTCTTGGTTGTATTGTGTACTCTGAGCTGGGTTGTTTAATCGTGAAGCTTTCATCGACTTTCTCCTAGACGACATCATCAGCACTAACTTCAGTATGAAGTGAGCTGTCAATATTTCTACGTGAGTGATTTAGTAGCTTGCCTTGACAAGGTGGTCTGTGATTAGCTGTTTCCTTTGATTGTTGTGTCATTGACTGTATAGATTTTCCTGTTGGCTGTCCCTCTGCTTGACCTCTGACCTTTCTGTCATTCATCATCTTTCTTATTGGTTGGTAGACTAGGTGAAAATATGCATAAGATTGGTAAATGAATTATTTACTATAGCCTCAATGCAAACCTCCAACTGACATCACTACTAGACACAGGCATACTGACTGACAAGATTGTCGTAATTGAGGTTGTGGAATCCAGGTAGCATGTTTCGTCGTTTTTGAGGCTCGTCAGCTGGATGCACCTGCCTCCCAGTAAGTGATGCTGTTCCTAATAAGAGATTACATACACTGATCATTTCTAATTCTGATTGCGTTTATGTGCTCAAAGTTAATTTACAAGGAAGTAAACGAGTACTATAGTCATTACTACTTATTGATATACTTCTAGTTCTTAGCTGTTTTATTGGATCGAATTGTTCGACCTCTATTGACATATGAGCGCCTATGCGTGTGCCTCAATACTGTTTGAATGTTAATGATGATAATTTGTGTGGTTGTGACTAGCAGAAGAATCCAGGACGCGCGTTTCATCTTGTTTGCGACTCGTCAGCTGGACGTACCTGCACCTCAGTGAGTGATGTTGTTCCCACTGAGACTCGAACCTCATACCCATCGCCAAGGCGTTATCCACTATGCCACGGAGGCACCATAGCCGTTTTTTATACAATGGGTAGCTAGGCACAACCAAACAAATTACCATCATTAGCATTCAGGCAATATCGAGACACCCGCATAGGAGCTTATATGCCAATAGAGGTCGAACAATTCGATCCAATAAAACAACGGAGAATAAGAAGTTTGTCAATAAACAGAAATAACTACTAAATGTTGTAGAAAAAGTGGCCATCGTTTCTCGTGGCATAGTGGATAACGCCTTAGCGTTTGAAGCAATGGGTAGGAGGTTCGAGTCTCAGTGTGAACAACATCACTCACTTGGGTCTAGGTATATCCAGCTGACAAGTCTTAAGTAGGACGACACGATAAAAGTGAAAGAAAACATTCCTTGATAAGAATCACCTATTCTTTCGTTGTCAGCAGTAGTATGAAATTCGATTACGCCTTTTGTATAGATATACGTATATGAATATTTCATTTACTAATCTATAGGAAGGAAATCATAAAACCATAACTTAGTAAACAGATACCAGTCAGTAGGAAACGGTAAGCACATATACGTGAAAAGAGTGAGTTAAAGGTTGGTAAAACTCGTTTGACGGTATTCTGGTGTAGAAAACCAACCCAAAATCGAAGAAACTAAGAAACTTGACAAATATAATTACGTAACAAACAAATACGTTCTCATTAAGTAGAGCTCTTGTAAGGGATAAAACTACAGCTTTTGACCACTTCCGTGTGTGTTAACCAATTCACCTGCTTTTGTGAAGCTGATTACATAAACCGCACAAACCGTTTCCTATTTAGACGCATCTCAGAACACTATCTTGTATGGCTGTCTACAGGACATTGTGAGGCTGTCGACAGCTCAATTCTTGGGTAGTTGGTTATCTCTGGTCACTGTGCTCCACAAGAGTCTTCTTTCAAAGTCATTCATAAAGCGAAGTCAGATATTTCGAAGCCAGTGTGTATTCGCCACCTAAACACATCAGAAGCTCTGGCAATCCAACACTACAATCCTTCTCTTTGTGTTCCAAAGAGATACATCCAATCTCTGATTTTGCCTCAGTTATTTCTGTTTATTCACTGTAATCATATCAACAATTTTGGATGACGTTTTATTGACCGATTAGCCATTGGTGGTTATATATATATATATATATATATATATATATATATATTATATATATATATATATATATATATATATATATATATATATAGTTCTAAATATGATTACGATGTACAACTTTTGAAAATGATTCTTCAAAAAGAAAATTTTCCTTGCTGAATCATCTTTTATTAAATTTACAAGTCACTTACTTTCTACCAAGATAAAGTTTGCAGAACCAAAAATTCCAACTAACCATATGAAGAACAATAGTAATAATAATAATGGCTGTAGTTGTTGTGATGACCTTTCAATCAACTAACTAACGAGAGAAATGGGAAAAAGAAACGGTGACAGATTTCATGAACTTTCTAGGGATGAGAAAAGAAAACGAACAACCGGAAACTGGATGTTCTTGCCATTATGTTTTTACTATCTTACTTTAGCAACCACAGATAAACATAAAGCATCCCGGAAAAATAGTTAACATGTTCGATTTTCCATAAATCCTTTAATTTGAAGTTTTGCGGGGATTTTATTCAATTCAAAGTAGTATTCATCGAAGACTGACACCAGTTGGAGAATATCTGAAAACTTGGTAGCACTGGGTGTCTGTTTCCTCCGAGAATAGGACTCCTTACCAGTACGCATCGAAGACATCACCAGCGATCGAAATCACTACGTTCACGTCTGTCAGCGAACGTGTTAACCATTCAGCCACTGGATTGGATTTCACTAGTCCACAGTTTCCTACGTTTGTAAGTCGGCGACATAGTGCAACTATCCTGTGAAGTTTGGAGTCAACCAATAAGAACTAAAGAGGATTCCAGTTGAAGGCCTTGGGGGATAGTCGCATTGAGTGGCGAATTGACAGGAGTTGGAAACTATGAACCAGTGAACTGCAACCCAGTGGACGAATGGTTGATACATTCACTGTGCAGCATGAAAGTCCTGGCAGGATCATTGGAGCGTACTGCTGTGGAGTACCGTACTTCAGCGAGACACTTGTCTAATGGTCCCAGGCTTTCAACAGTTCTCCAACGAATGTCAATCCCTGTTGAAAAATATACCCTAAAATCAGTCCTTTTTTCAGTGATGATCATCAACCAAGGAACAGCTGGTAAGTTGAGAGGACTCTTTAGGTATTTCATCTTCTTTTGCGATACCCAAAAATCACGTACTTGCCATCTCATGTGGCATCAAACTCAGGATAACCAAGCCCGACTTCCTTCACCAGACTGGTTTCCAGTGGCCCATGTTAATCAACTTCTATGAGTATATTCTTGATGCCTGTTCATTGTAGTCCCTTGAAAATGGCCTTGAGAGATTCTCATGAAAAAAGACATATATATATATATATATATATATATATATATATATGGCTTTGGATGCATAGAATTATTCTCAGATGTTTAGTGTTTGCCAGAGTTTCATTGAAGATCTCCTGTAGGTCAAGAGCAACATGCTATTCTGTAATTTTTTTCTTGGTGGCATGGTGTGGTTGGAATTGACGTTTTACGAGTCACTTAAAATGCCACCTGAACAACAGCTGAGAAAACCTATTACAGTTCATTGTTTCATCAAAAACTAACTTCCCAGCTGAAATATCAAAGTGTGATTGGTTGTTTTTTTTAGTTACAAGGGTGACCTTTAGGGTCACTTAGTGCTACAGTTTTACTCATTCATTAGAAAGACTTCATAAAAAAGAGGATATTTCAAACTGTGTATAATCTGTTGATAAAATATTAGGAATGAGTTCCTTTTGAGTTTATCTTCCTGATAAATGATTGAATATATGAAATTATAAATTTCAGTGGAAAAATGACAATCATTTTTGTTGATATTTTATATTGTTGTCATTCAGTTATTTGAAATGAAGCCAATAGTGGATACAACAGCACCTAAAACATTTCAATTGATTCATTTAAATTCTAAAAAGCATCGAGTAAGTCATTTAGTTGATTGTTTAAAACAAAAACAATTGAACATTGAACTAAATGGTAAAATTAGTTTCAATCAACAAATTAGTTCACATTAAATGAATAATTACACATTTATATTGCAAAATAGATTGAAAAAGAAAATTTATGTAGAATAGAAGAGGAGAATAATCGTTTATTGAAAAGAATGCATGAAATACATCGAACTGATGTTTCAGACTATCAAAATCACTATATTGCTAAAAGGTTAGATTGATTTCTGCATTGATGAGAGACTTTTTTTGTTATCTTTTCTTTTTCCAGATGCATTCATCTCAATTTTTTTCTTCTAAATCTAGTTTAAATGCAAGGCAAAGACTGAAAGAAGTTAAACGCATTACTCGTGATAATAAAGAACTTGCTAATCGACTGAAAAATTGTAAGAATATGTATAATCATAAGAAATTGGAAGAAGATTGGTTGAATACGTTGACTTATATGTCAAATATATCAAAAACGGGAATAACTTATCAGAAATCAGTATGTTAAAACTAGTTATTATAGTTTATTTAGTAAAGCTTATTCACATATATATTTTTAAAACACTAATAGATGTTAGTTGGTTGGAGGCGATCGGCAGGAAGCCTTGGACCAAGGTTTCGGGCTTTCCGGCACTCGTCAGCAAGGCGTATCTGCAACCTCGACGGAACTGATATCCCGCTTGAGATTCGAACACGCGTCACCCAGTCTCGTAGTCAGCGACTTTACCACTGAGCTATTCGGGCCACGACTGACCTCCTGTAGGACTGGCTTACATGTATTGATTGCTCACAGGAGTGCAACTAATTCATGTTGTCTAGTTCTGAGTGTAGACCGAATCCCATCCATCATATTTGCAATGTGTCACCCAAGCTAGAAGCTCAGCATCATGGTACACATTAGTAGATGCTAGTTAGTTAGTTAGTTGGAGGAGGGGGTTCGAATCTCAGGTGGGACATCAGTTCCGTCGAGGTTGTGGATACGCCTTGCTGACGAGTGCGTAAAAGCACGAAACCTAGGTTGAGCAGGGCTTCGTGCCGATTGCCTCCAACCAACTAACATCTACTAATGTGTACTACGATGCTCAGCTTTCTAGCTTGGTTGACACATTGCAAATATGATCGATAGAATTCGGTCTACACTCATGACTAGACAATATGAAATTGGTTGCACGGGAGTGAAACCAATCAATACATATTACTGGAAAAATTTATCATGAGTTCTCTTAGACAACTTCTTTGAACTGTCAACAGCCAACTAGATCTACTATAGGATTGTGCCGTACCACAATGACCATGTTTTATGCTTACATCAGTGAAACGTATCATCATCTTGTTCGAAGATTAGTCAATAAACTTACAGGACTTTCACAGACTGAAGTACAATGCACAAATCATTATATTTTTCAACATTCAATGCATAAAAAAAACTAAATTATTCCTAAATATCATCTGGAAAACTCCAATTCCAACAAACAGACAAGTCAGTCAAGTTTAAGAGAAGAACTTCACAGGATTATCAAGAAATTAGCTGGTATCTGGAATGACATTGAACAACAGAAATATAGACTGATGAAGATAGTAAATCAAAGAGACTATGAACTACTAGTTGAAGCATTCAATAAAGTGTAATCAGTTGGTTTTAACAAATCCAGTGAAATTGAAACTAGTTGATTCAACGAACTAATGTATGATCAACACCTCACAAAGAAGAAGGAGTCTACAAATAGGGAAACATCAATTATCGATTGTAAAAGGTGGGTGATCAATCTCTTGACTAAAGAATTAAGCTTAACTAAAGTGAATATTCTTAAGAAAGGAACTTGACTTCAATGTAGTAGTGGCTCAACTTAGACTTGGAAATGTTATACCCAGTAAAGGAGTAACATTAAGCCCAGGTGTCTATTACATTCAAAAATAGTTGAATCACCGGATATTTATCAAGTGTTTTTTCAGTAAATTTGGTATAAATTCGTGATGGCAAGTTTCTATACATACACTAGTAGTATTTCACGGGGGCAGTAATTTTACTCAGAATATTACCAGTTTCTAAAAATTTGTCATAAGAATGTCATTCCATAATGTATAAACTTTTCATTGATATTTACTTATTTAATGATACTTGTAATTAAACGTTGTTATACTGGATCGAATTGTGCTAACTGTGTTGACAGATGGAATCTTATAGTGATGCGTCGATATACTGCCTGAATATGTTATAGTTTAGTTATAGAACAGAGCATAGAATGGCAGTCAGGCCTTTGCCTCAATTTCATTGACTTTGAAAAATCCTCGATAGCGTTGATCGAAAAGTAATTTGGCAGCTGCTGCTTCAACACAACAACTTCAGTGCCAAGAACCTTTATCAACCTCATTCAATAGCAGTTTTATGCTGCATGATGCTACATGCCAAGTGCTTCACAACGAAAGCAGTGATGCCTTGAAGTGAAGACAGGAGTAAAACAAGGCTGCCTACTATCATCGATGATCTTCGTGATTTTGGTCGACTGAACTGGACTGGACTGGATCATGTAAGAAACTGTGAGCAGTGAGAGGCTGAGAACACACTGTTTGACCGATGATAGACCCCAGGAGAAGATTTGGATTCTGTCAATGATGATTTATGTGTGATGTCGTGCACAAACTCGAAGATGTATAGGTGGAAACTAACAGGTTGACAGAAGAGGCAGGGCACCTAAGGAAGACGTGACTTCCTTCAGGTGAACGTAGAGAAGACACAGGTGATGAAGATACCCAGCCAAAAACAACCAATCACCATCAACAAGAGGAATCTAAACGAAGTTGTCTGCTACCCATCTACCTAGGCTGCATCGTTTCAACTGCAGACGGCACAGACACAGATGGGGGTGTCAAAGCCAGCCAAAATCGGAAAGGCAACAATACTGGCCTTCCTTCAATAATCTAAAATATTCATTGTGGAGATTTACTGCACTGCACTACAGTGCACTCAGCATAAAGCGTGAACAAGATCCGGATTTTCAATCAAGGGAGTCAGTGCTTCTGTATGATGGTTGAGAGACGTAAAGTATTTTCAAGAAACCACAGACATTCATCAACAGCTGCCGCTTACGCTCACTCGATACTCAAAATCAGATGGCCAGAAAGAATAAGCAACAAGGGACGCTGGTCTAGCAACGAACCAACCAAGAACCCATCACCTAACAAATATGCAGAAGAAGAAAGTGGAGATGGATTGGATTGGACATACACTGAGAAGACCGTTTGAGGACATTACTCGCCAAGCTAGGCGAGGCTGTCGAGTTGAACCCAAAAGGGGAACGACCAGCTGGGTGTCTGAGGGTGACAAAGAAGAGATTATGGTGGGGGGTGGAGAAATGAAAGCTTGTGGGCATGTGTGGAGCCAGGTGGAAAAGAGTGTAGAGAAGACAGTGAAATGGTGAGGTGCTACTGAAGTCCTATGTTCCACTAGGAACCCAAGCGGCAATTAATAAATAACAATAATAGTAGTTTATTTGATGGCTATCAGTGGAATCCAGGACGCACGCTTCATCCTATCTGAGACTCATAAGCTGGATGTGCATAAACCCCAGTGAGTGATGGTGTGAGACTTCAAACGTCCAACCGTAATCCTCTAGGCCACTAGGATACAGGCATTACGTTTTATTTCCCGTTGTTATATTGCATTGAGTTGCTTGACCTTCTTTGTTAGCCTCAGCTAGCCGGCAAATCAACAGTAACATAATGAATATTCAGGCAGTTTTGAGGCATCCGCAGATGAGCCCATCTTCCAAGGATGTCGAGCAATTCGACCTATACCCCAGTAACCTAGTGGATAACGCTTTAGCGTTTGAAGCGATTGGTATTCACTTCTAATCTTAGTGGAGACAACATCAATCATTGGGAACAAATACATCCAGCTGGTCAGTCCCAATGGAACGACACACACGTCTTGGTTTTCCTTGATATATTTCCGCACTGTTCAGTATTACTTGTCAGTCTGAGAATATCCATTAGTACTTTTACTACATCAGCGCAGACAAGCGATAAAATAGCGATACTTCTCAATTCTCAGTCAGACAAATGGCTTTGACATGAATTAAAATCACTTGTTAATTTTCTTCTAATTTTCATTCAGTTTTGTCAGCTTGAATGAAAGTTTGGGTGGATTGATTAGTTTCATGGTGGTATTCATCATGGATTGATATCATTTGGGGAACCATTAAAACCCTGGTACGAACTCACCAAAGTGTTCTTGAACGACGGGACAAGGGATTGAAGCCAGAGTTTAAGGTTTCTTGGTGAGTAAATTTCCATGAAGTCACTGGGTTGGAACCCAACTAAGACATGTTTATTTCAGTTTAAAATACAACCATCAGGAAACTGAAGATTCGAAAGGTTATTTAGTGCCTAAGTGAGAAGGAAAAAGAAAATCAGTTGATCGATTGGGAACCTTTTAGACTCAGATGACTAGGGTATTTGTTACCCATGCCTTGTCACCCTCCATCAGGTTGTGAAATATTAGCAGCTGAAGTAAGTTCTAGCGGGAAAAAGGTTAGGAGTGGTCAAAATGAAACTTAACATATGACCTTGAAGTCTTTACTTGTTGGTCTGAGCCATGTAGAGGGAATGTACACTTCCTGGTTAGGGTACATGTGGCAGCAGAAACTAGTGGTTGCAGAATCTAGGTGATATGCCGCAGATTTTCCACACATTAACCTCATCTTAACCGTAGAACCGAGTCTCAGTGTTCCTTCATTATTCCTTATCTTCTTTTGATGACTTTCTATCACTTTTGACTGCTTCATCTCTTTATCTTTCATCTCAGTGCATTCTCGCTTGATGTGCTGAAATGAGGTGTTGCAACTTGGAGTTTTACGCAGTAATATCGAATCCAGTGTTGATCTTACCTGTCTGTTTCTGACACCGCCTTTATAATGTACATCAAGCTATTCAGAATTGAGTTTCCATTTACGTACCTTGATGAGAAACAGCGTTATTGGTGAATATATATTCAAAGACACATTGACTGATCACTGGAGGGTAACCAACTTCCTGTTGTCTAGTCCGAAGTGCTGACAGAATTCTATTGTTCATCTCGCAATTTATCCACCAGACTAGGCAGCTTAGCATTGCGATACACATTGAAAGGGAATCGCCAGGAAACCCTGTGTTTGTTGGCACTCGTCAGGAAGGCGTATCTGTGACCCCAACGGAATTTATGTGCTGCCTGAGATTCGATGAGCACTTCGGACTAGAGAGAATGAAGTTAGTTGCCATCCAGTGACCAATCTATGTACACAGTCCAATTCTACTGGAGGTTAGTCGTGATCTGAATAGCTCAGTGTTGACGTCTCTGATCATAACACCGTATGACGTGGATTCAAATCTCAGGCGGGATCTCAGTTGTATCGGGGTTGGATATACGCCTTACTGAATAGTGCCAGAAAGCAGGTAAACTAGGTCTAGGGTTTCCCACAGATCTATACTATTTATTACGCAAGCCGTGCACTCATTTAGATA